TTTCTTTACTGCCACACAAATACAACGAAGGGATGAGGATGAAGCTGCTATGACAGCAGTTGAAAGCAACTGGCTCTCCCCAGAAACAGCAGGAGCAGGAATACTTATTTCTCGCTTTTGATCTGCCTTTCTTGTGAGGAGACTTCCCTTGGTGTAATACTCCTGGCCCCTCTCCACCTCTCACTTCCTGTTGGTGAGCACAGGTGTCCCCTGCTCCTCCAGGGGCGGCAGCAGACTGTGACTCAGTGGGCAAGTCTAATTTGGGGGTTCGGGGTTAGAAAGCATGCCTGCCTCAGCTTAAGCTACAATCCTTCAACCATGGTGATCACTTTCTCCTCTTTCCCATTTGCCTTGGTTTTTCTCTTATTTCCAATTCAAAACCACAGACATTATATGTTTAGGGCCTCTGAGTCTCCCCAAATCTTCAGACGTGTTGTGTCTGGAGAGGCCGAGATAAAATGAGTTGCCTATATGTAGCTCCTTCCCCAAGAAAGGGAAGACCTAGGCTCTGCCTGCCTAGTCTCATGCCCATTGGGCAAGTGGCTGGGTTAGTTATACACTACAGGGTATCCTTCACAGGATACAGGAAACTTCATTAAGTAGAAAATAGCTGCCCCCTTCCCACTAACAAATACGTCATTAAGAAATTAGCAAGCCTAATAACCAACACCAAAGATTATGACAAAAACACACATGCCATTTTGCCCTGGCCAGTATTTCCCAGAAGTTAGAGCACCAGCCTGCACATCAAAGGGTCTCAGGTTCAATTCCCAGTCAAGGGCAAGTACCTGGGTTGCAGGGTGGCTTCCCAGCCTTGGTCAGATGCCATATGAGAGGCAACCAATTGATGTGCTTCTCTCACATCTCTCTCTCTCTCTCTCTCTCTCTCTCTCTCTCTCTCTCTCTCTCTCGTCCTTTTTTTTTTTCTCTCTCTCTCCTTCCCTCCCTCCCCTACACTGTCTCTAAAAATCAATGGAAATAATATTGAGTGAGGATTAAAAAAAAGTTTCATCTAATCTCAAAAACAATATGCGAATAATCAAAATACGCCACACAGAGTACTCTAGTTAACTGTGTTGCACTCTATCAATTTTCTTGCTTTAGTAACATAAGATGTCACCATTGGGAGAAGCTGGGCGATGGGTACACAGGACCTCTCCACTATGTTTTCAACATCTTGTGAATCGAATCTATACTTATTCAAAATAAAAATTTAAAAAAAGGCAGATCCAAAGTAAACACTGTGCATTCCGTTTATATTAAATTCCAGAACAGCAGAGCTTATCTATGACGAAAGGGATCAGAAAAATGGTTCCCTTTGGTGGGGGTGGGTAGGAGAATAGGAATTACCTGGCAAGAGGTGGGAGGGAATTCCTGAGAAATCCACATCTTGATGAGGATGCGGATATGGATTACATGGCTGGATGCTTTTGTCAAAACTCATCAAATATCAGAACTGAGCATTTCTCTGTATTGTAATAAATTACAGACCTCCATGAAAGCAATTAGAAAAGACATGGCCTCCTCTGCTGCTTCCTATCCAAGCAGAGTCTTCCAAAGAGATGCTTCAAAATATGTTCTCTGTCTAATCATCCACCTCTAATAAATTTAGCTGTGCCAATTTAAGAAATATAATCATGGGCATATTTGCTTCCATTTTATAGGTAAGCTGTTTATTTCCTCCAGACACCGGAGCAAGTTTCCATCAGGTAGAAGTTACTGCCTTGGTCCTGATTCCATGATCTGAAGAGGCAGGCTACCCATAGGCAGGTTAAGCTAGAGAATGAGAGTTAACACACTTTCTAGCTTATGTATGCATACTCGTAATTTACTTGGTAATGTATATATATAAATGGTCGAAATGTACATACATAAGTGGTCGAAAGAGTTTTTTTTAAACTAGATAAGAATTCAGAAGCTATTGCATAAAAACTAAAAACAGAGTGAACATCTCAATCGGAGAATGGCTGATTATTTGAGGTATTGAAAGAATATTATGCTGCCATTAAAAAGAATAAAATAAGTCTATAGAGTTGACTCAAGGGGTTTACTATTGTCAAATGAGAAAAGAGAAGTAATGCATTTCTACATTCTTTCTGAAAACCTACAAGTGTATTAAAAGCTGCTGAGCACCTCAGTGTGAACAGAGTTGGCTAACTGGGTGGACAGAAGGAGAAACAGGGAGAGAAAATAATGATGGAAAACAAGCAAAAACAACTATTAAAAAGAACCTGGTCCATGATAAAAAGCAAGAATTATATAAAATTATACATATGTAAGCATATAAATGCATAAAAATGCTTAGAAGAGTGGTTACTAAAATGTTAGAGGTATGTTATCTCAGGGATAAAGCTGCTTTATTTTTACACTCTTATACCTTTTTTGTATTTTAACTATATATACATATAGTTAAAATACAAAAAAGGTACATATATATATCCAAAATAACCATTTATTGAGGGAAAGTTTGAATAAGTCAATGACACTGGCAGCATGAAAATCATGTTTCTTAAGTAGAATTTTGAATGATTTGTGACTAAAAGAGGTTTTCACAATCTTTTTCAAAATGGAGACAGACCACAAGTCCAAAATTAATAATCATCATAAACACTTTGAGCATCTTTAAACCAGGGCCTAAATCTAATTTTTAACACACTTTCTCAAAGGCTTCAAGTGCTCTGAGTGCTTAATCAATCCTCTTTAATTGACAAGCACATTTCAAATCTCATGAATTATTACATCGAAGATGCTATTATCTGACATACAAATGCTATTAAAGAGTAAAATCTCATCTAAAAAAGAATATAGGAGCTGAAGTAGCTCCAATGAAAATAATTTAACTATGAAATTTAATCTGCCACAAAAGAAGTAATAAAACTCTAACACATAATTCATTTTTCCTTCCTGCCCTGGTCATATGAAATGTATTCAGTTTTGTTACCTTCATTCCTATAGTCTCAGGCCTACATGTCATCTACACACCCCCACAAAGACTGTCCACTCAATATCATTAACTTTCTGGGTGTTTTTATTGTAGATATAATAGTTAGGACATTTACTACCCGTCATCATGAATAATCTCCATCTATATATAAAAACCTCTAATATGCAAATAGACCGAATGGTGGAACAACCGAACAACCAAACAACTGGTCACTATGATGTGTGCTGACCACCAGGGGGCACACGTGGAACATGGCAGGCGTCGGCCGCAGTGGGATGGTAGAGCAGGTTAGTGGGGGCGCCAGACCAAGGCAGGGCACTGGTCACTGTCATCAGGGTGAGCCTCTGGTGGTTCCTGAAAATTCTTTGCTCCTGTGTGCTGCAGTCCTGCCTGGCACTCACACCTCCTGCCAGCACCGGCCCTGCTCACACCTGCTGCTGGTGCCGGAGCTGCCGCTTGCACCCGCTGCCAGTGCCTGGCGTTAGCCCCAATCACTCGGCACCATTAGCGGGTGCAAGCGGTGGCTGCTGGCCCCAATTGCCCCTCACGGCTTCTCCACCTCCCTTGCTCCTGAGGGGCGATCAGGGCTGGCAGTTACCTCTTGCACCTGCAGCCAGCACCAGAGCCACTGCTCGCACCCGCTGCTGGCACCGGCCCCAATCGCTCCACACCATCAGTGGGTGCAAGTGGTGGCGGCTGGAGTGGGGCTGCTAGCAGAGAGGGGACCGGTGGTGCAGAGGATGGGCCGAGACCCACCTCTGTGCCCACCGCAGCCTCGCAGCCCACAGTTCCTTTTAAGATGCACAAATTTGTGCACTGGGCCCCTAGTCCTATATAATAAAAGAGAAACATGCAAATTAACCATCCCTCCGCTATGCTCAAGCCATGCCCACAAGCCACACCCACCAGCCAATCAGGAGCAAGTATGCAAATTAACACAAGATGGCGGCAGCCACAGAGCTGGAGCAGCAGGAGGCTTGGGTTGCCCCCGGCGATGGAGGAAGCCAAGCTTCCCGCCTGCCCTGGCCGGCCCTGCTCCGCTCAAGGCTACAAAGTTTCAATTATAGAAGATAAATAAATCCCAGAAAAAAGAAAAAAAAGAAAAAAAGGAGAGGTTGGGAGCTTGGGTGGCCGGGGGCATGGCCAGCCTGAAAACGGCCCTCAGCCCTTCACCCAGGCTGGCCAGGCACCCCAGCGGGACCCCCTGCACCCTGAAGGGGCTGTGGGCAGCCTGAAAACGGCCCTCAGCCCCTCACCCAGGTTGGCCACACCCCCATGGGGTGAGGGTCCCTGCTGGGGGGCTTGACCAGCCTGCAAACAGCCATCAGCCCCTCACCCAGGCTGGCCAGGCACCCCAGTGGGACCCCCGACCTGATCCGGGATACCCTTCAGGGCAAACCAGCTGGCCCCCCACTCGTGCACCAGGCT